ATCGCTTTCTGCTCCAGTTAAAAACAACAATCTCCATTTTCTGCTTCCTTTATTACAATTATCTTAATTTCTCTGGGCACCATTTTGTTTAAGTTATCTTGGAATAGAAATTTAATAGTAAGTGCTTTTGGTTGTGTTCTGTTTGAATTTCCAATTAACAACCTTACCCTTGCCACTTATAGAACCACAGCAGACTTAAGGGCTATTCAAGAACTTAAAACATTACTAACTTTCAGTATTTTGATTGCAGATAGTGGAAGCTAGAGCCCTGTTGACTCAGGAGGTACAGAGCCGAGTGACTACAAATCTTGGACAAGATCAGTCTGGAAGTGGCATGCCCAAAGGAACTGCTTTTATACCACGTGATGAGTCTCTTTCTGTGCCTTCTTCCACTCAATCTGAATCAGCACCACCCAAGGCATCTGGAACTGAAATGGCACCTAACAGCACAGCAGTAGTAATTGAAACAGAGAAGCATCCAGTTCAGACTACTGAGATGCTGGTTGTTGACAAGTCTGTTATTGAGGAACAGCCTGTGAGTCAGAGCAAATATCAACATCTTGTGGTTGGTTCCTCTTCTGTAGTTTCAGATGAGAAATCTGATGATGATGGTGATGACTGGTTAAAAGAGGAAACTTCAGAAGTTGTTGGTTCTAGTAGTGCTACCACAATTCCTATTGGAAATGATGAGGATGTTTCTTTTAGTGACCTGGAGGATGATGATGGCGATGTACCCACAAGTTACAAGAGAGTGACATCTAGCTCTGATTCCTCAACAAAGGACTCGCGAGATTGGGTTCAGCTTAGCACAAGCTCAGCTGACTCAGTTAAGGATCTTAACTGTGTAGGTGAAAAAAGTGCTGGATCTGAGCAGGTTAGTGCTCATTACTCTGAGACCAAAGAATCGAATGATTGGCTTGATATTGAAGAGATCATGTGATATGAAATGATGCCATAATAAAACTATAAACCTCTTAGATGTTTGTGTCCTACATTCCATTTGCTTATATTGACAGTGTGAATATCTACTGCTTCTTCAGTCTGAGCTAAGCTCTGGTGACATTAAATTTGTACATAATAAATCCAGTCAAATTCAGATAAATTATGTATACATAACATGGGATATCATATCCGTCTACTATTGGAATGCTTCGATTGTTCAGCTCTATTCTGTTATGTCATTGCTGCCTGCTCTAAAAGCTGTTTGTTTAATATAAACTCTTAAAGATGAGGAACGTGATGCAATGTAGGATATGCATAATTCACCTTATTAATTGTGTAAAACAGTTTGGAGCTTCAATTTACTTATTTTGGTACTTTAATTTCTTAGCTTACCTCACAGATTTCTCATGAGAGGATTAGTACTTTAGTAGACCAGTGTCCTGTGGATTGAAGCGGAATAGTAAGACTACGCGACTGGCTTGATAAGTTGTTGAGCAGTATCAAGAATAGGCAATTAAGAAAAAAATACTCGACTCCTGAATCCTGATCATTTACGTTATGTACAAGCTGAAAGCAGTTCTAGAGCTAGGACCTCCTCAAAGGTCTTATGAGGCTGAAATTGCCTGAGAGGCGCTCAAGTTGAGCCCATAGTAGATTTCCTAGCGAGAGTTTCGGCCTCTCTTCTACATTACCATTTCTGGTTCTGCTATTACAACTTGATGACTTGTTAACAACCAAGATGGATCCCCCAATCTCTCGTCTCACCAGTTCCACCGTGTTTGGATTTACATCATTCCCTGATGCATCCGTAACGTAGAATGATCCGATCGCTTTATCTTCCTGTGTTCCAATCTCTGCCCTGGATATCGATAGCCCATTTTCTCGGAACACTCTGGTTACATCTGCGAGCAGTTTCATCCGGTTTTGAGTACGTACATCCAACCTCAAGCCCTGTACAGGGAAATTTTCCTATAAGCAGTTTGATTCGTTGCAGGCAACAGACAATGAAAATAGCATTTTTTCATTGATGACATACCCGGGAGACTCTTCGCTCGATCGCTGCAATCAAACACTCTGTAAGTTTATGCCTCTCACTTTCTGTATCCAAGGTGCATCCATCTTTCTGCCTAATGAAATATTCCTGCCATCCAAACATTTACAGAAATGTCAATTTTCAGAGCCAGCCGGCGAGATCTTTGTTTGGATGAAGGGAAAATATAATATCCTTACCTGATTGGCAATGCAACCCTTTGAGCTAACTGCTGCGTGGAACACTACATAATGCATGTCCGTCAATGCACAGACAGTATCAAATAACAGCTTCGGCCTGTCACTGCTCCTTACATTCACCACCGAATACCCCTTCTCCTTGCAAGTCTCTATCGACACATGGGTCTTGTCACATCCGTTCCACTGCCGGCAACTACCGTCGCAGCCACGACACTGCTCGTAATCCCTATCAGCATACATCAACTGGTGGAGCCGCCGCTCAGTGTGCGTCCTCCCAGCGGCTGGTGCCATCAACCGGACACTCCTCCGCTCACAATTCTCTTGATGGGCCCCAACAACATTCTCCAGATGGTCCTGCACTTGGGCAAGGCGGTTTGGGTCGGTGATAGGCCCGCCCGTGAACCCTTCTTCCACGTAGATTATGCAGGCCACTCTGGTGTTGTGTGTCCACGCCACCGCGGCAGTGACGTTGCAGCCCAATTGGTAAAGAGCAGCCGCAATCTCTGACATAAGGCCCGGTCTATCCCTCAACGTCATCTCTAACGCTGTGTGCTCCGTCGACACATGGCGTGGCCTCACCTCTCTTTTAACACAAGTCTCTAGTTCCTTCTTTACCCCACCACTCCTACTTGCACAAAGCGCCTGCCAATAACCATCATATTCCATTGGTGGTTACATAAAAAAAAAACCTTAAACGCTTTCCTAAATATGTAAATATATTGAGAAGATCACAACTTACAAGCATCAATAGCATTAAACAAGTAGATACATATCAAATTATTACAACACTCCTTAAGTGAAACCAAGAATCATATGTTATATACCTGTTGAATGTAAAGAATGAGGCTTTCATCAGTAATTTTGTTGCCGAGCTGGTCTGCCACGTGAAATACTGCAAGCAAAAGGAACACGACCACATGGAATATGTCAGGAGAAACGGTAGGCCAGGTATAGCTCATAAAGTGATGATCAATCTAAATATTAATCCAGTTAA